AACATTTTCAATAACTTTACAATATAGATAATCTCATGCTACTCAATCAACGGCCGCATACAAAATTAGATAAGATGGCATACCTTTATCTCCACCAGCCATTGATTTGTTTATTTTCTCTCCTCTATTAGTCCCACTCTTCAAGATAAGCTCTGCCTTGCAATATCTGTCGGAACCACAAGAAATACTTGGCTTTAGATTATGTGAATCTTTCATTTCTAGGACTAAGCAATTACCAATAATTAAACTAATAAAAAACAGTATCTGAACTTATCTGAACTTATATCGTTCAAAATACAAAACAACACCAAAAAATATTTGGCTGCCTCTAACCACAAAAATAATTTAAGCAAATCGTTCGGCCATTTCTAGAAACAAATATGGGTTCGGCCATACTAAACTAAATTATTCATCGTCTTCTACTATTGGAACCCTAGTACATTTCACTCGAATTTTCCTCATTTTAAGCAATTAGCAGAGACAGATCAGGTTTGAATATTCCAAAATATAACCCATTTTCAGCTTTAAATATCCCAAAAATCTAATAGATACCAAAAACACTAAAATTCACGACAACAAACCTTACAAAGCTGTAAGTGCACCCAAATTTTTATTTTTATTTTTTTTTATCTTGGGCAGGATGGAGGCCAGAATTATGGGCAGGAACACTGTTGCAGTACAACGGCGGGAAACTATCATTCTTTAATATAGTAAAAATAGAATAGATTTAAACTTTTTAAACTTCGATACCATATTGAAATTTAGCCTTTGTTTTGTTCTCATTATTTCGAAAATACATTTTTATCTTTCTTATTTTCAACCGCACATTCTAAAATAAAATAATATTGTACGTAAATCTAAAATCTTTTCTCTAATCTTAATTACACAGATTANGACCTAGGGCATAACACTTACATCACATGCCATCCTGAATGGCAGCACACCTCTAAGAAGAGGTGCGAATGCTGATATGTAGAGGCCTTGTCGAATTTCAAGGTATTTTGAAGAACTCGACTGTAATGCATTTGTCAAATACATCCTGTTTGGAGCTGTCTTCTTGACCTTTATTTATCAAAAGGATGCCAAATTTAGTTCCAAGAAGTGTGGTACCATAAGGAGTCAGAAAGAGGAATGTGTCATTGAATTATTGCACATGCACTCTGGGACAGGATATTTCGTCACGTCCCTTCCCACTTTTCTCGTCCTTACTTCGGGCTGCCCCAATGATTCTCTGTGCAAATCCATTATAATGTTGTTGAACTCGTCTTCAGGGAGAGAAGAATTCATAAAGTATAGAAGCATCCGTCTTTTGTCAGGTGTGATGGTCTTTTTGTGCCCTGCATAGGCCCTCTGACCCTGTTTCAATATAAATCCCAATAAGTTCAACCAATCCAAAGTAAGCGATAAAGAGTCGATAAGAAGTGATTTTGCAGATGATTAAAAGACAGGTGCGATACCTGAATGGCATGGCCCATATTTCCACCATGAGACACCATGAATACGTCGCTATTCTCAGAAACAATGTGATCGATAGCAGCCATTAATGAAGCTTTCTTTGCAAATGGTTCGAGCTCTTCCGGCAGGGCAAGGTCTTCCTTGTTAAAAAAATGAGGAAATTCTCTAGTCAAAGGTCGCAAAGCTTCTTTTCCACCTAATGGAATCCCTCCGGCCCAATAAATTCTTGTACTTTTTGGTGCTCCCAATGCTTTGAGCAATCTAAACACAGAACAACATATCACTCGGAAGGAGTCATCAGATCCTAATAGTTCCATTAATGGGATTTTCGTAATTCATAAGCTTACCGTGTGACCTCCAAGGCATTTAAGGGGCAGAGACCGGCAAGTTTTCTCTCGCGGTAGGTCATGTTATTTCTTGAAGTCAAGAGCTCCGGCCTGAACTTCCTCTCATTATTTATCATCACGTCATACTCACGGCTTAGACCAGGAAGACATCCTGTCCTCACCCATACATCCTTCTCCATACGCAGATGGAGAGCAAGATACAGCCCCTTGCTTCTCATCCTCTCTGTAATCTTGTTACCAAGTTCGCAGATATGTGGGGCGAATCTCAATGCGTGAAAAGCCACCTACAATTGGCAAGAGGACTCGATGAATAGATGCTAAATTTCAAGCAAATAGCCAAGTAGAAATTCCAAAGTTAGTACGGCTCACGGTTCAGTATGTAAATTTTAGTACGGCTCACGGCTCAGTATGTAAATTGTATAAAGAGTACACCAACTACCTTGCATCGAAGCTTTTGAAGTTCGGAAGGAAGATCCTTGGAAAGCCTTGAATCAAGGCCA